ATCCACCATATAGCCCCGACATTGCTACTTCAGACTTCTACCTTTTTTCAATCTTGCTGGCACTATCTTCTATTCTGCACACAACGTCCAAAATGAGGTTGATGTGTTTTAAGACTCGCGGCCACCAAGTTTTTGGGGCAAAGGCTTTGAAAAACTGCCAAAACATTAGTAGCAAAATCAAAGATATAGGTGGTGTTTCCACCCACCTAAATCTTTGATTTTGCTACTTGTTTCATTAGGTACTGCTTTCATGTTCCCCCCCCCTTAACTTTATTAAGAACATTTTTGGCAGAAAAATTTCATTACAATCAGATATTTGCCATAGCTTCAAGGAGAAATATGCATAATATTATTAAGAAGACCACAGTTTTACCAGTGGAAAAAATTACATTATTTTCTATCTGAGACAATCTTAATTAATTTGTGAATTGCAACTTGTAATAGTATTACCTATGAATTAGGTCTGTTTAAAATACAAAGCATATTTTCAATAAATAGTTAAAGTTTTGGTTCCAACAAAGTGCTTATGCAGAAAATATTTCAGATAAAAATAAATGTGTGCAACATTTGTTAAATAAAAAAATAAGTTGATTGCTTGTTTCATTGAATACAGCAAAGCATCTAAGGGGGAAGATGTCTTTATGGAAGACTGGAAACTGATTTATATTCTTGGGAGGAAAACTTGGAAGGTATCCAAACATCTAGATTGATAGCCAGAATTCAAATTCAAATAAAACTAACACTATTAAAAAAAGTCTTAACTACTGAGTTACTGCTAAGCCAAAAATTTAATTGCTTTGGGAGTTATATTGTAATTCTAAATGCTATTATATTACAGGTGCAATTAAATCTGCATTTAATAACAGTTTTAACTATAAAGTAACTACAATTATTACCAACTCTGTTCCGTCAATAAAAAATAGCTTAAATTTTAATAAAGATAAATTAAAGATTTTATGCTTTGCTAAATGACAGAATTCTGAGAAACTGCTATATGTGATGGTACAGGAAAGTTTAATGAAGTTTAATTTCATGCACTGGCAGCATTTCACAAACTTGCTTCTAGATTATCTCCATTTATCTTGTTCCATCAATTTCCAAGGCTTGATTGTGTCTACAAATTTTGTTTTCCAAGGACAATATTTTATATCATACTTAAAAAAATTGTGTCTTCATCAGGGTGTAATAAACCACAAGTACTAATCAATTTAATTTTCATTACATTGTAATAATTTTAGTGAGTGTGTATATATTATTATAACTACAGCTGTAATTTTATTGTAGTTGTAATGTAATTGTAATTACAAATTGTGCAATTACTGTTATATTGTAATTAAATTTATTGAATTATTTATTTCAAATTACAATACATTGCTATTTACAAGTGTAATTTGTTCAATTACAGTGTAATTAGTTAATGGAATTGGTTATATTTGCAATTCATTATAATTGAATTATTAATCATTTACATTATAACTGAATTATGCCCAACTCTTTGGTGGGGGTATCAGAAAAAGTGTTACTTCTTCCTTTCAGGGTGAAGTCAGCTTTCTTTTTAGTGTATTGCATAATATGATAACAATCCAGTTCTTTGCAATCAAAAACATTTTTAGTTATATATGAGTACTTTCTGATGAACTATCACCAGGTCAATGGCAAGTATGTAAATTGACCAAAAAAGTTTGTTTGGATATCTTCACTGTTTATAATTTCATAGTGTTTTGTTCATAAATAATAAGAAACAGGGAGACAGTTCTATATCTTCCGTTCTACTGGGCCAATTGACGAAATTCAACTTGCGTTTTCGTGTCTCGAAAGCACGACTTGGGATATGTATTAGATTTATATATAGCATTGTTCTAATGTAGATATTTTGACAGAAAATCGGACTTTTTCTGAAATAACATACCAATTTTTCTTTCATATTTCGATTCAACGAGTCAAATTACGACAAAATACCAAGTTTTGTAAAAATCGCGTGAGTAGTTTTTAAAAAAAATTATATAAAAACTTAGATTTGCCTAGTTGGCAATTCTAACATGCCAATTTCTACCAAACAATTGACTTTTCAATTCAAAATTTTATTCTGGAAAAAAAAAAAAAAAAAGCATTTACCTCATACCTTAGCTCAGAAATGCAGGTTAGCATCTTTCCTCAAGCTAACCCTCTGACTTCAGTATACCTCCCCTCTCTCGAAAAAAAAAAAAGAAAAAAAGAAAAGAGAGATGTGTGTACATTTCTTTTGTCTTCACATGGTATTTTAAATAAACAATTATTTAGTGCCCAAGATATATGAAGTTAATGCTTCTGATGCCCTCATTAATAGCAATTTTTTTAACTACAGGATAATTTTTTTTTGCAGCAGTTGCCTGCATAGAGATCATGCAGATCGTCTAGTAGCTACTAGAAGACTTTTGGGCTCCTCGTCAGTGGAACGGTGCTTCGGTACACCAGGGTACCTGGGCCGGAGGCCTTACCAATTGTAGAACTGTAGGAAGTTTCGAATTATACCAAAAAATAACCTGGTGATGAACTTGAATGTATTTTGATGAGAAGAATAAAAACTGTGATGACAAGAAGCATCGAAGATGGACTAAATGTTGGGAAAGCTGTTCAAGAAATTAAGGAAGAGGTGACATTCTCAGAACACATCAATTTTCGCCTTCTGCAATTTTCATCATGTACGTGACAGCTCGGAGCCTGCAGAAAGTTTATCAGCAATAGTCCTTGCATTGCGAATTTTTTCAATGAGCATAACAATATTTCTCAGGAAATCTTGCACTTTATCATCCAGTCAGTTACAACACTTGCTTCCCTCGGGATTTGAAGTTTTCGCCCTTTGACCTTTTCGCTATACCTAGGTATAGCATTGGCGCTAGTTTCCTTATTATCTCTACTTTCTTCTGTGCTTTTCAGATTAGAAAAATCTTCCTTCGTCCAACTAGGTTGGGGGGGGTCTTAGCTTTTCTTTCAAACTTCTCCTTATAAGCTTTACATCCGCGATAACTGCTGACATGTCCTTGGCCACAAAAAGAGCAGGTGGGGGTACCTTCTGGTTTTTTTTTAAGGCAACTTCTGGTGCTATGGTTTTCACAACACTTATAGTAACGTTCCATATTTTTACAGAGATGTTGGGTATGTCCATAATCTTGACATCGGTAGCATTGTGTCGGTCTCTTCCTCGGGGCAAACTTCTCAATTAGAAGACTTTTTGCCGATATTTCTAATAAGCTGTACAGCTCCATTAATTATGCCATTTATAGCCTTTGCTCCATCAGTACGTCGCTGCAGTTATTCCATGGTATTTTATTCTCTTCAAAAAAAAAAAAAAAAAAGAATTTAGGTGACCAAATATTAATACTATGTACTGGTAGAGATTTGCATAGCAGAAAATCCTCAAGTAATATGTTTTCATGCTAATGCCTAACGATGACAATTTTTTGAATCCAGCTACATAAGTAGATTCCTCCATTTGTAATGAAAATTTGCATCATTATGGGCAAAAATTAAGTTCATTCTCTGTATTGGGTTCTGAAACTTTTATGTATTCAACTACTGTGTCATTTGAAGCTACTTCTTTTGCTGTTTTTTCATCTAACATATATCTTACTATGTTCCTAGCGAAAGAGTTTAATAACATTTTTTGCAGTTGAGTAAGCTTCACCATAGCAAGGTATCTGATATCTGATTAAGTAAGAAGCCTTACTTGCTTAGTCATTCATTGATTTTGTGGTTTGAACCATCAACCTTTTTAAGAGTTCATCACACTTTTGAATAAAGAATTCAACATTTTTTTCTATAAACTCTCCGTGAACTGATTGCAAATGGTTATGCATTTTAGCTGGAGCCATACAGCTATTTGGGAGAACGTTGCTGCATATAAAACATTGAAGATTACCATTATTGCTCATGGTTCCTAAAGACATAACTTTCCTAAACATGTAACTATCATCATACTTTCTAAATTTAGTAACTGCTGTGTGTTTATTACTTTTAAAAGCATTATTTAGCCTTCTTTTGGCTTGATTTTATTTGTATCACTCTTATTATCACTGCTATTTCTTTAGCAAAAGAGGCTAAATGTTGATTCGAAAGCAGAAGTGTCAAGTTCTACAGTAGAATGCTTTAGAGTGCCTTATTAAGCCACCTCTCCATCCTGCATCAAAATATCGAAAGTGGTTTTAAAACAAATAATACAATGACAGCAGTTTTTTATTTCTTGTTGATAATATTGTTAGCAGCAAAATATAAAACACAAACTTAATACAATTTTTAGATTTTAAAACTTAAAAGGCAGAATATAACAACCCATCTCCATCTGCTCTGAATCAGGTGATACTTAACAAATAAAAATGTTTCATCTAGGGAACTTTCCATCCAAAAATAAATATTTGTCTTTTATTCTGGTTGGATTTCCTTGTAATTTAAATTGTGATCCCCAAGATGTTATGTATTTTGCTTCTAATCTTCTGTAAGAGTATGCATGATGTAATGTTATAAGAACCAATAAAGTTTGTCAGTAAGCAAAAACTTAAACAGCTGCTTTTGTCTGTAATATCCAGATTAGTAAGTAGAAGCGAGGTTTAGTTCTTATTATTTTTTTTTAATTTCATAGAAATGTAAATTTTTATTGCTTTTTTTAATTACTTTCTTGAATGTTATGAAACAAAGTACGTACGTTTTGTGGAACACTAAAGTGACATCCTCCAAACTCCAGGATTCCATGGAACCCAGTTTAAGAAATGCTGCTGTAGAGTGTAAGAAAATCCATGCAAACAGGAAGAAGAGATTCCTACATGCTGTTGTACCGCAGCCATTGTGGGATTCTGTTAACAAGGCTGTTTACAGCTGTTACGGCACTGAAATATTGTGGATTGATTAAACTGACTAAAATACTTTGTTCTTAATTGTTGCATGACATTTAATTATGTAATGCAAACTTTATTAAAATACGCTATAAATTTGTACTATGTTTAATTTCATATAATTATAATTTTTAGGGTGAAAATGATATAGAACAGTTATGTTTAGTTCTTCAGACGTTAGGGACACCAACAGAAGAAATTTGGCCGGTTAGTATTTAATTTTTTTATATATATATTTATTCATTTGCTAGTATCAATTATGAAAGAATATAAAGTATTAAATACAGTAATTATATTCTTTATAATTAAATATTTTACATGTATATTCCTGTTCATTATAATTGCAACACCATGAAGGAAGCCTGAAATTTGAATATGATAGACCTGAAATTTGCATATTTGGTATAATATGGTAGAACGTGTAAATAATTAACAATGCAATGCATTTGAACTTTATTACAGGGTTCGTACGATCTTTAAGAGTCCTTAAAAGTTTTTAGGTTTTTTGGAATCGATTTTTGGTCCTTAAAAGTCTTTAATTTTGGCCAAAATCAGCAGATGGTCCTTAATTTTAATCATCTGAAATTTTTGTCTGTTTTTACGACTGCCATTTTAAGTGTGAATTGGTATTTTGGAGGAATAATTTTGGCGATTC